AGGAAACTTGGACAGTTAGGAGGCATCTCTCCCAGCATATTTGTTTATTAATTTAATGCATTCATATACTGTTGACAGTGCAAATAACCCATCTAAGCAGTTTGTAGCAGCACAATACAACATCCCAACATCCCTAACATGAGCTGAAGAAGTCCCTGGAGGGAGGCCCAGGATATGCCTCTCTCCATATTTCTACCTATCTCCATATTTCTATCCCATAAAGCATTTGAGCGAACATTTTAGCAGCAAAAAGCCTTGAGGGTGGGAATTTATTATTTATTTATTTATTTATTTATTTGATTTATATCACGCCCATCTGGTCGAGTAGACCACTCTATTAGCTAGCCCCCTCCAACATAAAAAACACCCTCTTCAGCTGCCCAACCTGACACTCAATAAGGTTACAGCATTTCAGTATTATTTCCAAGAAAGTTTCTCACTAAAATGCAGGCAAATGATTGCACCTGCTCAAGGGTATGTCCATCGAGTGACCAGTTATGTCTGGAGGCTCTCTTCCCAAAGACCATTGTCTTACTTTTTGAATAGTTGATTGTTCATTGTCTTTGCAGAATTGGGCAAATTTGATTCACATTCTTTTAAGGCCAATTTTATTCTAGGATAATTACACCAAGTCATCAGCATAGAGCAGCACAGATCTTAAAAGAACTGAATGGAAGAATAAAGGGGATGCCATTCTAGGGATCAGATCAATGTGAAAATTAAAAAGGAAGATGCTAGGATGCAGTCTTGTTTCACCTCTCAGTTGACACAAATTTGTAGATAGAAGACCTGTTCTCACCTGCAGCATATTTTGATGTAGCTGCTGTATATAAGCCACAGGAGTCTTCTATCAATATTTGCTTGGGCCAATTTCTGCCATAGGTGCTGATCAAAGGCTGATGAAAAATCTACAAAGGCTACAAAGATATACTTACAGTGGTGCCTCGCTTTACGATTGCCTCGCATTATGACAAATCCGCTTTACGATGCTCTTTTCGCAATCGCAATTGCAATCGCAAAACAATGGTCTAAATGGGGGAATTTCGCTTTGCGATGATCGGTTCCCTGCTTCGGGAACCGATTCTTCGCAAAATGATGTTTTTCTAACAGCTGATTGGCGGTTTCAAAATGGCCACCGGGTAATTAAAATGGCTCCCTGCTGTGTTTAGGGACGGATTCCTCGCTATAGGGACAGTAAAAATGGCTGCCGTATGGAGGATCTTCGCTGGACGGTGAGTTTTTACCCCATTGGAATGGGTTTCAATGTGTTTCAATGGGGTTTTTATTTAGCTTTACGATGTTTTCGCTTAACGGCGATTTTCCTGGAACGGATTATCATTGTTAAGCGAGGCATCACTGTATTTGGTCTCTTAGTGAATTTCCTCATTAAGTGGTACAGTATAAGACAAAAACCTGATCCATTGTCTTTCTCCCCTTCCTGAAACCTGCTTGTTCCTTGATTATAACAGAATGATTATGGTCCCATTCAAAGAGCTTGTTCAGAAGATACTGAGCATAGAGTTTGGAAGCCACATCAAGGAGGCGAATTGGTCTATTGTTATGAGGATTTGATGGGTTGTTTTTCTTACAAAATGGCACAATCATACTGGTGTGCTGACCTGGGAGAAGTTCTCCTGTACGGTTAATGTGGCTAAACAGATTGGCTAAAATAAGGGACTAGCAGTCAGTGTCAACAGCAAACACCTCAGCAGGAATCGTATCCTCACCTGGGGCTTTGCCATTATGAAAAATCAAGATCAGAACCCTGATTTCTGCAGGAGAGACAGGCAGCCGTTCCGGGAGATTAGGTGCAATCTCACTTGCATTGTGGATGCCTGTCACGTCCGAAGATGCCACTAAAATGAGACCCATACTACCAATGTAATTGGATTGGCAATCTCAAAAGATTTCTGAGAAAAAGTCCCTCCCTATCAACTTCCAAAATTTTGGTTCATTCCCCTGTGTAAGGGCATGGCCCAGGGATCCCCACTTATTAGTTTAAAATACCTTTTCCTCTCTAAGGTTTTATATTCTCACCAATGGTGCTGCAGAAGAGATGTGGCTTTATCAGTACCAATGTGTTTTGTCTGTCTTGTCAGTTTACTCAGTTCCTTTTTGTTGGACTTCCAGTCCTTATCAAACCATGACCATGAATGACCTGGAATCATGTGATCTGTTAAAACTCTGGATTGTATTTCTTGAAATTTGAAGACCACTCTAAGAGGAAGATGGTCATTATCGGGTCTAACATCTGTTCCTAGATAAAGGTAAAGGTTCCCCTTGAGAATTTGTCCAGTCGTGTTCGACTCTAACACGAGTTAGAGCCGTTTCCAAGCCATAGAGCTAGCGTTTGTCCGAAGACAATCTTCCGTGGTCACATGGCCAGTGCAACTTAGACACGGAACGCTGTTACCTTCCCACCAAGGTGGTCCCTATTTATCTACTCGCATTTGCATGCTTTCGAACCACTAAGTTGGCAGGAGCTGGGACAAGCGAAGGGCACTCACTCAGTCATGTGGACTTGATCATACAGCTGCAGATCTATAGATCTTATAGCACAGAGGCTTCTGCGGTTGAACCTGCAGCATCACCACCTCCCCATCATCAGTTCCTAGTGATTGCATATAAGGGATCACAGAAGGTGAACCCAGGATGTAGTCAACTACACTGGCTCCCTTTTCATTTAAATATGTATAATAACCTTTTGAGTGGTCCAAATGGGAACTATTAAGAGAGACAAGTTGGAATTTATAAATCGAGCTAAATAGAAATTGGCGTGCTTGTTAATGATCTTATCTTGAGAGGTTCAAGATAACTGCCGGCTCAAGGTTGACTCAGCCTTCCATGCAACTTGCTCTAGGCGGGTGGGTGGGAAGGTGTAGCCTGCATAATTAACTTCTAAACTGCTCATAGATTGCTTTAAGTGCTATCGGGCAGTATACAAGCAGCACACTTTACTTTGCTTTATTCCCTCCATTGCTCATGCCCGAGCTACCCAAAATAGTTGAGAGTACTTGAGGCAATTGGCCCAGGTTGCCTTTGTACAGGGGGAATGGAATAATCATGCCGCCCAGAGTGGTCGGAAGACCAGATGGGCAGGGTATAAATTAAATAAATAAATAAATAAAAATGCTGTACAGCAGGCTCTAGGATAACAGAAAACTCTGCAATTTTTGGGGCGGGTCCCTAGGAATTTTGTTTGCTCAAGCACATTAATTCTGGGCCCGAGTAAGAAAAGTGAAATCTATAAATTTTGCTTAGTTTACACAAAAGGAGATAGTTGAAAACAGGAGCAGGAGCAGCAGGAGCCCAATTCTGAAGAAGTGGCAGTTCTCAGGTAAACCTGCGAAAAACTTCTTTCTTCCCAGTGCTCTTAAAACTCTTGGGGGCCCAGAGTCGGTGGGCAAACATTCCCAGGACAGCACAAAAGGCATTATGGTATCCTTCAGGGCTCTTAAAGTAGAAGACAGATCCCTTTGCTCACTTAGGCAGCATAAAACATGGCCTGTTGATAAGTCTTGGCAAAGGTGAGTTCTGGGAATGAAGAGCACTGGATGCTTGGGTAGAGCAAACCCCACATAAACAAACAACCTATCTGTGGAGAGAAACAGCCCTTTCTCCAAGTCCAACAGGATTAACCTAAATGGCTCAGTCTTGATTTGCGAGTATACCTTCCTTCCAGGCCTCGCTGTGCTGAAGAATTCTTTCTCCAAAGAGGTACTAGTCCCCCTCTAATTGCCACTGCTTAGGCCGCATCTTGAGTACTGTGTCCAATTCTGGACACCACACTTCAAGGAGGATGCTAACAAACTGGAGCAAGTTCAGAGGAGGGCGACAAGGATGATCAGGGAACTGGAAACCAAGCCCTTGGAGGAAAGACTGAAAGAACTGGGCATGTTTAGCCTTGAGAAAATAAAGCAGGGAGTGATATGATAACGCTTTTCAAACACCTAAAAGGCTGTCATCCAGAGGAGGGGCAGAATCTGTTCCCAATCATTCCAGAGTGCAGGACTCACAACAATGGGCTCAAGTTATAGGGAGCCAGATTTTGGTTGAATTATCAGGAAAAACTTCCGAACTGTTAGAGCAGTACGACAAGGGAACCCATGGTCTCGAGAGGTGGCGAGTCCTGGAGGCATTCAAGAGAAATTTAGACACCATCTGACAGATATCCCTTAATTTGTGTTACTGCAGCGAGCAGGGGTTGAACTCAATGGCCTTATAGGCCCCTTCCAACTTCATGAGTATATGATTCCACACTTCTCCTTTCCAATAAGCAAAATAACTCGGTTTTATCAAGCAGTTTCCAATAATTAAATGGTTATTCAAACATTGCAGCTTTGAACCTCCTTGATTCTCTCTCACTTTTCCTGGCTCTTTACTTCACTTTGTGTAGTCCCAATGGATAAAAGTTTTAAAATCCCAGCTCTTCCTTTAGTAAAACAAATAAAAACAATAGAAGCTTCTTTACAGAAAGGATTAAAAAATCACAAGATTTGCTCCTCACTCAAGCCAGAACTGGAAACAGTGAGTATACCCACCCTTGTTGTGTCTTCCAAGAAAATTTAAGAAAAAGACATGAGAACAAAAAGAAAAAAATGATATTTTAATGCACTTTGATCAGGCCTATTTAAAATCCAAAAGAATGTGTCTTTTCCACATTCTAGAGTCCGAGCAGATTCTTCCCCTCAAGCAACACAGGCTTCTTTTACATCAACCAAAATGAATAGCTGTCAATTCTGTCATGGTCAGCAAGGATCTCCTTCTTCCTCCTCAAGCTCCTTTCGCACTCTGAACCTTGATAGATTTCCTCTCCTGAGCCAGTTCTTAGAGGGTTAGTGAGATTAGCGCCTGGAGCTTCTTCCACACTTTGAGCTTCTATATTGATGAACTTCCTGATTCTTTGATGGGTAGCGAGACAAGTATTCTGTATGAAGATCTTGATCACCTGCATTGTTCTTTTGTGGGGATTCTCTGATGCGCAGAAAGGTTAACACCTATTCCTGAAGCTCTTTCCAGAGTCTGTATGGTTTCTCTCCTGTGTGGATTCTTTGATGGATGACAAGATCATTCTTCCGCTTAAAGCATTTTTCACACTCCAAGCATTTATATGGTTTCTCTCCTGTGTGGATTCTTTGATGGATGACAAGAACATTCCTCTGCCTAAAGCATTTTTCACACTCCAGGCATTTATACGGTTTTTCTCCTGTGTGGATTCTTTGATGGGTGACAAGTACACTCCTCCGCTTAAAGCATTTTTCACACTCCAAGCATTTATATGGTTTCTCTCCTGTGTGGATTCTTTGATGGATGACAAGATCATTCCTCTGCTTAAAGCATTTTTCACACTCCCAGCATTTATAAGGTTTATCTGTGTGGATTCTTTGATGGGTGACAAGTACATTCCTCCACTTGAAGCATTTTCCACACACCGAGCATTTATAAGGTTTCTCTCCTGTGTGAGTTATTTGATGGATGACAAGATTATTCCTCTGCTTAAAGCATTTTTCACACTCCTGGCATTTATAAGGTTTCTCTCCAGTGTGGATTCTTTGATGGATGACAAGTATATTCCTCCACATGAAGCATTTTCCACACTCCAAGCATTTATAAGGTTTTTCTCCTGTGTGGGTTCTCTGATGGCTAGAAAGCTGATGCTTCCGATTGAAACTCTTTCCACAGTCTGAGCATTTATACAGTTTCTCTCCCCTGTGGATTCTCTGATGGATAGTAAGGTTATCCTTCCGGCCGAAACTCTTTCCGCATTCTGAGCATTTATAAGGTTTTTCTCCTGTGTGGATTCTTTGATGAGTAACGAATGCATTTCTCCACTTGAAGCTCTTTCCACATTCTGAGCACTTGTATGGTTTCTCTCCTGTGTGGATTCTTTGATGTCTGACAAGATCATTCCTCTGCTTAAAGAATTTTTCACACTCCAAGCATTCATATGGTTTCTCTCCTGTGTGGATTCTCTCAGGCTGAGCAAAGTTACCCCTATCACTGAAGCTCTTTCCACAGCCTGAGAATTCATATGGTTTCTCTCCCATGTGGGTCTTTTGATGTTCAGTAAGTTGCAACTGCTGCTTGAAATTCTTTCCACATTTGGTGCACTGAAATTGTGCCTTCAGTTCACAAACTCTTGTAGCTAAGCTCAGCCTTGGTCTTCTAGTTACACTTTGTTCCTCCTGGGGAAATTTAATTTTTCCCTTTCTGGTATGATATCTTTCAGTCCCTTGACCTATGTCATGAGGGATAAAACATTTCTTTCTCCATTTTTGTTTCTCTCCCATTTTTCTTCGCCTCTGTTCATTCTTCTTATCACTCTTTTTCCAATCGTCTGCAAGTGTAAACAGAGACACACAATCTTAGAGGAAGATGCCCTCAATTTCGAAAAGAAACCTCCATTAGAATGAGAAAGAAAAAGAAGCCAGTGGGGTGAGCTCTCATTTTTTTCCTGAGGCACGAAGAAGAGGGGAAGGCCAGTGAGAATGAGTCCTTTAGGCCAAACGCACACATTTGGAGATAACTTTACAGGAGAGAAGCTGTGGGCAGAGATCATGCTTAGGGATTATCTAAGACAGTGGTCCCCAACCTTTTCCCAACGAAAGACCAGTTTAGCGTGCAGGGGGCAGTGTTGGCATCCGTGTGCGGTTGGTGGGCGGGGCAGCCATATACATGTGCACTGGTGGGTGGGGCACCCGTGTGTGCATGTGGGGGACATGCATGTGTGTGTGGGCGTATGTGCAGGGGGCAGGAGATCTGTCACTGTGGCCCCATCCTGCCAAGGCCATGGCCCAGTACCAGGCCACGGACTGCGGGTTGGGGACCCTGGACTGAAGAAATTATCTTCTGTCTGAAAATACTAAATAAAAAACCCTCAAAAATATATATTACTATCCAAATCAACAACCTTGCAATTTTGTTAGCTTCTCCCTAGAGGATTCAAGGAGCAAATAGCGTTGGGAGTGGTCAGTGGATCCTCTCATTATAATATCCTGTAT